CCAGCATGCTGGAAACATTTTACCCAGATTGTAAGTTGGAATCACTTGTGATTTGGTCCTTCAATTCTGTTGTTTTGTTTCTACTAATCACAATATTCATGCATTTCTTGTAGAATTTATGTAACTCCTAAAATATTATCTAGTTCTTATTCTGCCCAATTTATGGAATTCATTTGTTTTTTGGGGGAATTCAAAAAAAAAAATGAAAACAAGAAAAAAACTGAAGGTTTGACTCTGGTGACAAAATCAAAATAAACATTGAATTTTTAATTTTATCAATTTAAACCATAATATTTTGATTTATTTTCAGTCTAAATCATCCACCTATTTTAGTCATTAAACTCAATGTAGGTGTACATAAAATATTTAAAATGTCATTTTTTGTTGAGTTTGATGATTAAAATACCAATTTTCCATCAATGTTATTTAACAAAAACAGGCAAATCAAATTTCATAGAAAAGTGAGGCAATTGAAAAACAAGGAAAAATTACATATTCTGTTTTTTGTTTTCTGCCATGCCAGTCTGTGAGGGGTAATAAAGCCATGGTAAACAAGAAATAGCTTGAAATGAAATTAGAATATTGTAACATTGTTTTGTTGTTTTGGAGATCACAAATTCATGACATCAATGAACAAATACCCTATCCTAGGATGTTCTAATCAAATTTCATGGTTCAATTTCTAGCATAATTTCTAAGCACAAATTTTTCGAACTTGTATTTGCTTAAATGCGTTAATGTGCTTCTTTCTTGTGCTTTAGCTGCATTGCTTTCAGGCATTCACTAAAATTAAAAGATCTATAGATCAGAAAAATAAATTAGAAGCAGAAAACCAAGGGCTGCTTCTGAATTTTGGTTCACAGCTTGATTAGAGCTTAAAAGACTTGCACAAGACCATCTCGGGGTCAGTTTCTCAATAGCAGCAACAATTGAGATACATGGAGGAACACGTCTCTTCATTTATTGCTAGTAAATATGACGTATGAACTGAAAGTTGATGTCTCTTTCATATGTTAAACTTGTCAGTTAATTTTGTTAATCTTATATCGTTTTCTCTCAGGCCACTCAGATACTGGAATCTAGGATCTGTGAGCCCGAGATTGCTGTAAGCTCAGTCAAGAGCGCAGGATCTGTGAGCCCGAGATTGCAACAGAAAAAGCTTGAGTTGGAGAAGTGATCTCGCCCGCCCACCTCTCCTGATTCCAGCAAGTCAAGAAGGCAACCCAACAAGCAACAACCAGAGTCGAGTTCCCCAGGTGGGAAATGTAGACCAAAATCTACAAACTTACAGCAAATTGACGACCAATCCAGTGAGATCAGCTGTGAAACAAGGAATTCAAGTTACCTGGAAGACGATATTTCTATGCGATCAAATAGAAACATTGTCTCAGACTCAGGGATAGACACAGAAGTCACTAGTTTGGAACGCTATGCTGAGACCAATGGCAGCCAGAGTCCATCCATGAAGGCTGCCAAGTACTCAGTTTCTGGCATAGACTGCAAATCTAAAGGACAAAATAAAACAACTCAAGGTAAAATTGCAACTTAATGTAGTATATTAACAAAGGTGGACAATCTTTTTGTCACTAGCTCCATCATTTTTAAATTCATTCAAAATATGATTGTATATGTTTAGCCCTCGTGAAATTATTTGCTTGATATATTAATCACGACAACATCTGCAGAAATGTAATGCTATGTAATGCACTGTAATGACAATGAGAGATTTTTTTTCATAACCAGGGTCAGATAAAGCTGAAGGAAGCTGCACTCACTAAAATTTATAATTAGTGACATTTTTTGTAACAAAATTTTCATACCATCACTAAAAATTAATAATTAGTGATATTTTTTAATAGTATTTAATGAAAAACATCATTAATTCTAACAGGATTACTGGACAATAAGTCCATTTATTAATACTTACTCATACATCCTCCCAAAATTAATTTAAAAAAATTAATTTCATGACGTATAGATAAAGATAAAATAATAATTTTTTTTTTTTTAAAAAAGAAGCAAAGTAGTTCTAGCACCTTGAGTATTGCATAGCTTTGGACTAAAGTTGCAAGTCATTCATTACATTTGAGTGCATTTAGTAGTTCTACCAAGTAATTTTGTCTTCCTTTGAATTTGCAGTACAAATATGGTCAATTACTCTAGGTAGCAGTGGGAAAAGGCAGAGTTATCTGTCAACCATCTCAACAAGACTAGTATTACAGAGATTGAATCTACTGTAACGTAAGTCTTCCGTTCCCTCGTTTTTCAAATTTTCTAGTAACCTTTTATTTATTTTATTTTTTAAAATGTTTTTGGTTTTCTTATCATGTTCTTTCTCTCCCTGAACAGGGCAAAAATTTGTGCGAGCCATGGTGTATATGAAGAATTTGTCTCTAGATCCTCATCCATTAATGCAGAATACGAAGCTAAAGCCTGTGACACACAGGCAGCTGTTAAGGTTAATTAAATCCCTTTATATGAAATTTTAATTTTTTTTCCCCTCTATTTATCAAACAATGAACTCAAGTGGGAACATTTTTTAATCATTTTCTTTGAAGTTGCTTCAGATCATAGATTTTGTTGGCGTTGACATTCTTGGAGTGGGTGCCCCCTTTTGGTTGATCTTTCACCATTGAATATGGTCCATATGTCTTGATATAGTGATTGAAACTCATGATTTAGGATTCAGGTTCTGATGCAAATTTTGCTTCTTGTTTTCCTTCTCTAACCTAAATATGCCATTTGGCTGTGTTGCAGGAGCCAGAGAAACATGTGTTTCATCTTGTTACTGATAAACTGAACTTTGGAGCTATGAACATGTGGTTTCTGTTGAACCCGCCTGGAAAAGCTACCATCCATGTTGAAAATGTTGATGAATTTAAGTGGCTCAACTCCTCGTACTGCCCAGTTCTGAGGCAGCTAGAGTCTTCTGCCATGAAGGAGTACTATTTCAAGGCAGATCATTCCACTGCTGGCTCTTCTAATCTGAAGTACAGGAACCCAAAATATCTTTCAATGCTCAACCACCTCAGGTTTTATCTCCCACAGGTTTATCCCATGTTGGATAAAATCCTGTTTCTTGATGATGATATCGTTGTCCAGAAGGACTTGACAGGATTGTGGTCGGTGGATCTCCATGGAAAAGTGAACGGTGCAGTGGAAACCTGTGGTGAGAGCTTTCACCGTTTCAACAAGTATCTTAACTTTTCAAACCCACATATTGCAAGAAACTTTGATCCAAATGCTTGTGGGTGGGCATATGGGATGAACTTTTTTGATCTCGAGGAGTGGAAAAAGAAAGATATTACGGGCATATATCACAAGTGGCAGAATATGGTCAGTTATTCAAAACCTCACTTTCCATCTCAATTATGTAGAAACTCTTTGATGTTGTCATTACATCTCAATTACTTTCTGGGGTGACACTGACAAGTCTATTTCATGGGAAATTACTAATTAGTGACACCATGCCTCTTCAAACACCCAAAAATTGATATAGATGCTAATTGTTTCAGTAAATAGTAGGCATCTTATTGTATATTCCTTAATTTCTATTTGAAATTATTATAGGACCTGGATTTACGGTTGTTTGTCTTTTTGTCGCTGATGTGTTTAGGAATAGTCCAAGTAACTTACAAAGCTTACCAGGAAAATTACCCAGAATGAAAAGGGAGGGTTGAGCTTCAAATTGTGTATTTTGGGGTCCATGCATATATTAAAAAAATCTGGGATAAATTACCAATAGGTCCTAATAATTAGTAATTCAACTTTTTTTATAGACCAATTAGTCCCATTAATTTTGAAAAGATAAATAGATAAGGGTAAACTACCAATAGGTCCTAATAATTAGACTTAATTCCCATCAAGTCCTATTAAAAATAAGTCTTAGTAAATCATCGCTAAAAATAATTTTTTTGTGTCGATTTTTTTGCGCATATCGCTAAAAATTAACAATTAGTGACTTTTTTTTGTTACGGTTTTTCTAAATTGTTGCTAAAACTTACAATTGATGATTTTTTCTGTAACGAATTTTTCAAACTATAGCTGAAAGTTGAAAATTAGTGACCTTTTTTTGTGACGATTTTTTTAAACTGTCACTAAAACTTATAATTCGTGACATTGTTCGTGACAATTTTCAAATTGTCGCTGAAAATTAACAATTAGTGACGTTTTTTTAATAGTGTTTGATGAAAAATGTCATTAATTCTCACAGGACTTATTGGACAATAATTCTACCTATTAGGACCTACACATACTAAAATCTAGGCCACACATTGATACTTTTAGGTATAATTTCATGTAAAAATTCTTGGTATGTAGTAGCATTATTGATGTGTTTTAAGTCAACGTAGGCCTCGTTTGGCAAGTGCCCCTTTTAGTCAAAAAGCCAAAAAGTTACTAAAAAAATCAAAAAGCTAACAACACATACCAAAAAGTCAAAGATTCCTTTTTCTCTCTATTTTTTGCACATTTTTTTGTAAAAAGCCAAAAAGTCATCCCAAACATACTAGTTTTTTTTACATCACATTTTAGCCAAAAAGTCAAAAAGTTACAAAAAAAAACTTGTTCCCAAACAAGGCCTTAGTGTCACCCGCTTCAATTTAAAACAATAGCATTTGCACACTGGGAAATGCTTTTTTCCAATCTTCTGGGAGATTATTTATTTGTTTGTTTGTTTGTTTGTTTGTTTATCTGTGTCCTTGTGATGGTGTTAGAATGAAGAGAGGGTACTATGGAAGCTTGGAACTTTGCCTCCGGGACTGATAACTTTTTATGGGCTAACACATCCACTTAACAAGTCGTGGCATGTGCTTGGTTTTTGAAGTTGCTTCAGATCATAGATTTTGTTGGCGTTGACATTCTTGGAGTGGATGCCCCCTTTTGGTTGATCTTTCACCATTGAATATGGTCCATATGTCTTGATATAGTGATTGAAACTCATGATTTAGGATTCAGGTTCTGATGCAAATTTTGCTTCTGGTTTTCCTTCTCTAACCTAAATATGCCACTTGGCTGTGTTGCAGGAGCCAGAGAAACATGTGTTTCATCTTGTTACTGATAAACTGAACTTTGGAGCCATGAACATGTGGTTTCTGTTGAACCCGCCTGGAAAAGCTACCATCCATGTTGAAAATGTTGATGAATTTAAGTGGCTCAACTCCTCGTACTGCCCAGTTCTGAGGCAGCTAGAGTCTTCTGCCATGAAGGAGTACTATTTCAAGGCAGATCATTCCACTGCTGGCTCTTCTAATCTGAAGTACAGGAACCCAAAATATCTTTCAATGCTCAACCACCTCAGGTTTTATCTCCCGCAGGTTTATCCCAAGCTGGATAAAATCCTGTTTCTTGATGATGATATCCTTGTCCAGAAGGACTTGACAGGATTGTGGTCGGTGGATCTCCGTGGAAAAGTGAACGGTGCAGTGGAAACCTATGGTGAGAGCTTTCACCGTTTCGACAAGTATCTTAACTTTTCAAACCCACATATTGCAAGAAACTTTGATCCAAATGCTTGTGGGTGGGCATATGGGATGAACTTTTTTGATCTCGAGGAGTGGAAAAAGAAAGATATTACGGGCATATATCACAAGTGGCAGAATATGGTCAGTTATTCAAAACCTCACTTTCCATCTCAATTATGTAGAAACTCTTTGATGTGTCATTACATCTCAATTACTTTCTGGGGTGACACTAGTTTATTTCATGGGAAATTACTAATTAGTGACACCATGCCTCTTCAAACACCCAAAAATTGATATAGATGCTAATTGTTTCAGTAAATAGTAGGCGTCTTATTGTATATTCCTTAATTTCTATTTGAAATTATTATAGGACCTGGATTTACGGTTGTTTGTCTTTTTGTCGCTGGATTTACGGTTGTTTGTCTTTTTGTCGCTGGATTTACGGTTGTTTGTCTTTTTGTCGCTGGATTTACGGTTGTTTGTCTTTTTGTCGCTGGATTTACGGTTGTTTGTCTTTTTGTCGCTGGATTTACGGTTGTTTGTCTTTTTGTCGCTGGATTTACGGTTGTTTGTCTTTTTGTCGCTGGATTTACGGTTGTTTGTCTTTTTGTCGCTGGATTTACGGTTGTTTGTCTTTTTGTCGCTGGATTTACGGTTGTTTGTCTTTTTGTCGCTGGATTTACGGTTGTTTGTCTTTTTGTCGCTGGATTTACGGTTGTTTGTCTTTTTGTCGCTGGATTTACGGTTGTTTGTCTTTTTGTCGCTGGATTTACGGTTGTTTGTCTTTTTGTCGCTGGATTTACGGTTGTTTGTCTTTTTGTCGCTGGATTTACGGTTGTTTGTCTTTTTGTCGCTGGATTTACGGTTGTTTGTCTTTTTGTCGCTGGATTTACGGTTGTTTGTCTTTTTGTCGCTGGATTTACGGTTGTTTGTCTTTTTGTCGCTGGATTTACGGTTGTTTGTCTTTTTGTCGCTGGATTTACGGTTGTTTGTCTTTTTGTCGCTGGATTTACGGTTGTTTGTCTTTTTGTCGCTGGATTTACGGTTGTTTGTCTTTTTGTCGCTGGATTTACGGTTGTTTGTCTTTTTGTCGCTGGATTTACGGTTGTTTGTCTTTTTGTCGCTGGATTTACGGTTGTTTGTCTTTTTGTCGCTGGATTTACGGTTGTTTGTCTTTTTGTCGCTGGATTTACGGTTGTTTGTCTTTTTGTCGCTGGATTTACGGTTGTTTGTCTTTTTGTCGCTGGATTTACGGTTGTTTGTCTTTTCTTATGTTTATTTATTGTTGACAATTACCTTGTCTTCCTAATATATATATTTTTCTATTGGAACTTCCTCCTTGTAGAAGCAATCAAATGCTAACATTGACAATAGAAATCAATTGAAAACGAAGCATAGATGTGGGTCAAAATCTCTCCCAGTTAGGGTACACGAGGCGGTGGGTCTTCTTTAATTTTTTTTTCCCCTTTTTTTTTTTAATAAAGATGATTCTACTACCGTTGCCATATATCTGT